GTCTTTATAACCCCTATCTCCGCCGTTTTTTTTTTTTTTGACCTGACAGCGCAACATCTGGTATACGAGGGGGTCATAGGTTTCTTACCGAAGTATCTCATGAGCCATGTTCATCGTGAACTGTGCATCTAAGCAGAAAAACTCAACAGACATGTTCTAATGGCCAACCATCCCACCACCTATCCACATTAGGCGCCTACTTTCCTCCTCGACATGCTGATAACAACCATAACACTAAAACAAACTCAGAAGCGTCATATGCAATGCGATTACAAATGGTAGATATGATGAAAGCGAAAGGCAATAAACAACCATGTGAATCGAAAATTCGAAATCCTCACAATATCCCTTTGGGTCAACAACAAAACAACTGCAAACAATAAGAGTTAGATATCCAGTTTGAAAGTATTAAGCATCTCAATTTCCAATGGATGCATATGGCCTGGCAGTACTAACGAGTGCAATGGTGGTCCAAGATCATATTCAGACATTTCCTTCAACGAGCAGTACACTATCTGAATTCAAAATGTTCAACCTGCTTGTTTGGTTGATAAACTGCTGAACGAAACTCCACAGTTATTTGCATCGTATATACTCAAACAGAATGAGTAGTACTACCGGTTCTTTTAAAGGTTAAAGTGATTCTAGAAAGTTCCCTTCCAAAGTTGTAAGGCCTTAATCATTTTGTTGATATCCGAGGTAGTTGCTCCCTTAACTTCCCATCCTTCAGAGACACTCGAATCCAATACACCCATCTTAAGAATACAGTTCCACACTCTTCAAGTGAGCTCGAATCAATCCCACAGATTGGGAAATTACAGAACGGTGTTTTTCTAACCATTATACCCAGCCGGAATTTCGGGAAAGTCCAAATTAGAAAACAGGGCGGCTTCCAGCTGCATTCGAAATCATTAAAATGAAGTGAAAAAAGCATGTCCGACCGTTCTCGGTGTTTCAATCGCAGTATATATTGTAGGCTTCGTAACCCTCCCAGATTTGGAAGAATGTTGAAGTGTTAATGTTTTGTACGTGAGAATGAAAAACCGAGACTGAGAAAATCGAGCAACCAAGAGGGAGCGTTTGCACCACTTAGAACACTCACACTTGCCACCCTTACCAATTCACTACTACTGCAAATTTTAGTATGACCAGCTGTTGTTTTTACCTAGAGATTTCGCTGATGTTCTTTCTCTTCAAAAGCGAAAAGTTGCTGGGTGATGCCTAGGATGGGATCCTAACCAATAAAGGATTGAAGGATAAAGTCTTTGGGCGTCGACCAATCCCGTCTGAGGGATACACCCGGCATTCGCCTTTCATTCAGAAGTAATGGCACAATGATTGTGTATGTATGTAGCCTATACAACGCCTTGACTTCCGGCTGCCAATCAATGTACAAGTCAGTGCTATTATCCCCTAGTTAAGTCGGTTGGCCCAGACGGATATTGATCCAGGATTCGAACCGGTGACCATGCGTGTGTGATAGTGCGCTACTTGCCACTACACCAAATCACACCTTCACCATTCTAACGAACACAAGTGTTTTTCGGGCTTACTGCTCGAAAATATAATTTCTTCATCACTTTTAAACTTCGAGGATCTTGTTAACTTGGATGCATCCGAATTACTCCAAGTGTTGCTGAGATAGGATACAGGATAGGTACATTGAGTAGATTGACAACATCCAAGGCTAGAACTCATTGCAGGTCCAAGTTCTCCAATAACAGAGTGCGCACTTGTTTCAAGCGAGTTTTACGCTCCGATTGCGGTGCCTTTAAACATTGTGAAGAGAACAACTTACCTTCTGATCTTCCCAGCCGACTCTTGCCAAACCTACACAGGCTGACGATTCGTTATACGCTGGAAAAATACATTCACAATACACAAATCACAAAAATTCAAAACTCGCCCAAACCACAATCCCAAATCCGAAACTCGTTCGGGCTCGACCTACATACTACCTTGATGAGCGTATCACTTGTGGCTATTGGAACCAGTTTCAGTATAAGTAACTCTTCGTTTTTTTTCATAGCAAACATGAATAGCCTGAGCAAATGCTGGCCATGCACAACAAGGACTTCTTTATTTTCTCACGAGAAAGTATTTTTGGGTAAAAAAGCGAAATATTCTGATCGAACGTACCTGGTTTGATACCAGCTTCCTTCTTACGCTCTGCTATCTTCAACAACTGAGTGGCTGCTTCAGCACAAGTCAGATATCGAGGTGGCTCGTAGACGTTTTTTCCTCTAAATATATAGAACCTGAGATGGAAAGAAGCCATGAAATTACAAAACTTGAAAATTTGGAAACAAGATTCGGTAGAAAAACCAACTTCATCATGTTTTCAACAGACTGCTCTTTCGTTTTTATATCTGAAAAAGATCGTATGATTATGATGATCAAGAAATTAAGTAATAAATTGTATTACCAAGCAAGCACAGGGTGTGAAATCCTTTTTCCATATTCGTTGCTATCTTATCATAGTAACTATCTGGTTCCCATCCATCCAGCCACATCACTATTGAAACTGTCTCCCCAAAATTGTAGAGCTGAAAAGAATAACAGATGAAATGTCTATGCACCATGTCTGATGACGTCCTTTATTCAGAAAAAGCGGTCACAAATAAGTGCAGTTTCGCTTTTTTGACCATAACTCTGCTAATCTTCATCAACTTCACAAAAAAAACGAATGTGAGTAATAAAGGTCAGAGTAGTCTAACAATAGGCAGAGATAGCCGAGTGGATAAGAGTGTAGGCTCACGTCTGTACTTAGAGGGAGTGCGAGTTCGATCCCTGCCGAGGCAGCTCCATGCCTTGCAGAAATTGCAAAAAATGGTATCGGTACTAGCGTCAGGCCCAGGTTGACGGGCCTCCAGATGGAGAAACCAGTCAAACAAATTTTCTGAAGTCTCAAAAGGTATCAGTGATAAAGCTAGGACGTCACCCGGAAGTAGCGCACAGGACACCCGCCCAAGTTCTGTGGACACTAATCGAGGGCTACCGAGGAGTGAAGTTAGTTCGGATTGGGACTCTGAATATGGGATCGCTTACCGGGAAGTCCCGTGAAGTCGCCGATCTCATGAAGCGCAATAATATCCAAGTCCTATGCCTTCAGGAAACCCGCTAGAAGGAAGGAAAGGCCAGGGAAATTGGAGAGGGTGTCAAACTCCTCTACAACGAAGAAGACTCCAAACGAAATGGTGTGACCATAGCAGTGGCAGAGGCCCTGAAAGACTCTGTCTCCACTGTCAACTGGATCAGCAGTCGAATCATGGCTGTGAGGATAGACACGAAGGAGGGGTAGTGGACAATAATATCAGTGTACGCTCCTCAAGCCGGCTGCCCCGTCTACAAAAAGGGTGAGTTCTATCTGAGCCTTGACGAGGCCATCCGATCGCTTCCGGAGGGGACTACCTCACCATAGCAGGTGATCTGAATGGGCACGTCGGTAGCGAAAGGGAGGGGGGGGGGGGGGGGTTGAAAAGGTTACATGGAGGTAAAGATGTAAGAGTCAGAAACGAAAAAGGACAGAGGGTCCTTGCCCTGACCATACCCCACGACGTGGCAGTCTGCGGCACCTTTTTCGCGAAAAGGAAGTCCCAGAAGGTAACCTACAGCAGTGGAGGGTGAAAACGGAAATAGATCCTGTGCTAGTAAGATAGTCGTCCCTCAAATCTGTAAAGGACATCAAAGTACTGTCTGGAGAAGATCTGTCTTCGCACCACAAACCCCTTCTAGCAGACATAGCCATCAATCTTCCCAAGAAATCAAGGACAAGAATTGTACGGAGGATCCGGTGGTGGAAGTCACGCCAATTTGGAAGAGAAGGTATTAGAAGCTGGACTTCCATTTCCCGAAGGGCCATCCAGCAGACCTGGACCAACGCTGTGAAGGTCATCCTGCGATGCGCAAAGAAACGCTGGAGGAAACTTGAGGTGGTTTTCGAGGGCACAAGGAAGCGTGGTCCAGCTGCTTACAGAACTTCCACGAAGCTTGCCAAGGCTGCTGTAGCGAAGGCGAAGAACACGGAAATGGACGCCTTATATGAGAAGCTCGACAGTCGAGAGGACGAGGTTCGTCTTCCGCCTGGCGGAAGCGCGTCACCGCGCCACCCAGGAAATCGGGGTAGTGAAGTCCGTCGGGAACAACGAGGGTGCAATCCTGAGGAAGCCTGGCGAGCTCAGGCGTAGGTGGAAGGAATACTTCGACAGGCTCCTTAACGAAGAATTCACCCGCAAGAACAGCTCCCAATTGGAGGCAACGGCAGGCCCCATCAATCTCTGGACAGAGAGTGAGGTGCGCAGAGCAATGGGAAAGATGAGGGTTTGGAAGGCAACTGGATGGAGTACCGATCGAGGCATGGAAGGCGCTCGGATAAGACGGGAGCACGGGATAAAGTGGCTCACCCGATTCCTGAACACTGTGACCGCTAAAGGAAGAATCCTAGATGCGTGGAGCTGTACTATCGTTCCCATCTTCAAGCAGAAGGGAGACGCGATAGAGTGTTCCAACCACCGGGGGATCAGGTTGACTGCTCACACAATGAAACTGTACGAGCGGCTGGTCGACTCAAGATTGAGAGAATTGGCCCCAATCTCGCAGGAGCAGTTCGGCTTCATGCCTGGCAACGGATGCCATCTTCATAGCTAGGCATGACATGGAGAAGTATCGAGAAAAGCGTAGCCCCTGTTACCTAGCCTTCCTTGATCTGGAAAAGGCTTCCGACCGTCTCCCGCGACAAGTCTTCTGGAGAGCGCTCCGAAAACGAAAGGTTCCAGAGCATCTGGTCTCTCTGGTGAAGGACGTGTACGATGGCTCCACCACAACAATACGTATCCCACACGACCGAACCGCACCAATAGATGTCACGGTTGGGGCACACCAAGGTTCAGCTCTGAGCCCGTTCCTCTTCCTACACACAATGGACGTCATCACAGCGGAACTCATGGATGGACCATTGAAGACCACCCTCTACGCTGATGACATACGCTCTGATAGCTGAGAGCAAGGAGGAACTCCAAGACAAGCTCCAGAAATGGCAGAAGGTGTTAGCGGAGAATGGATTCCGGCTGAACGTAAAGAAGATCAAGTTCCTCAGCTCCAAGAGGGGACGGAGTCAATCATCGACGGTCATGGGGAAGCCATCAAAAAGGTCCAGGACTTTCGATACCTGGGGAGTGATCTGGCCGCTGATGGTACCCGTAAATGGTACGCGTGGACCAGGCCGTAAAATCCCGAATAAAGGTGGCATGAATGAAGTGGAGGGAGTCCACCGGTTTCCTCTGCGATCGTCGGTGCTCCAGGACTCTCAAAGGAAAGGTGTATCGGACAGTGGTAAGGCCTACGATGCTGAACGGCAGCGAGTGTTGGCCCGTAAGTAAATATAATGAAGGACAGCTCCACTCCACTGAAATGAGAATGCTCAGATGGGCCTGCGGCTGGACGCGGCTGGATCGGGTCAGAAATGAAGACGTCAGGACGGCTATGCAAACAGCCCCAGTTCAACTGAAGATGAGGGAGCAGCGCCTGCGATGGTTCCGGCATGTACTAAGAAGGCCTCAGAGCCATCCGATAAGGGAGGCAATGGAGTTTGAGGCTCAACGTAAGCGACCACGAGGACAAAGAAGAGATGGCGGGACGTGATCAAGAAGGACCTCGCCGAAGCCAAGGTGACGGCAGAAGATGCCATAGATAGAATGAGATGGAGACGGCTGACAAGAACAGCGGACCCTGCGACGGTGCGGGATTAACGCTAGGGAGAAGATGAAGAAGTAGTCTAACAATAAGCTGAGTTCTCGCTGATGGATGGAAAGAACTGCTTTTCTCAGTACTGCAGTCGGGAGAATGTGATGCCCTTATACTCTCTTTTCAAACCGTTTCAGCTCTTTTCAAACTTCTAATATTACAAACAACAGTTCTTTTTGTGGATTGGGCAGTTCAAACATGTATTATATGTGAAGAGCCGTCGTTCCCAAAGTTGTCATGAAAAACTGGAAAATGTGCCTGTAATGTAGCGCCGCACCAAAGAAAAGTGCACAAAGAGCTTGCGCACAGCCTTATGCTCCTTAGTTAGATGTTGAGGTACATGGGATGGGGTTTGGTTGTGAAGCGCTAATGTTGGATAGCACAGGATTCAAAGAGGGTAACCCTTGCAGTCTAGACTGGGTAGTTGACATAAGCTGTTTCACTCATGTTCGTCGCCCTTTATTTTCGTTTCACAGCTCTGGACATTGTGAGGGAGTTTTCGTTGCTATCACGTGCAACTTCTTTGCAAATGTATGTCCCAATCCACGCGCACTTGTATTAGGAGTAACGCGTACAGTAAAGAACCTGAATAGCGCTGCATTTTTAGAAGGAAATTTTCGCATATTTTCAGGAGAGGTAAAGCGAACAAGCTCGCGCACATCTGAACTGGATACCTTGACGGAGTGAGTCTACAATGTAGGGCAGCGACGACATTCCGTATAGCACTCTAAAAGGGAGCCAAAATATTAGTCGCCAAAGTGAAGCACGAGCGTGGGTCAGTCAGCGCTAAGGATGTTTAGGGAAAAACATGTAATACCAGTCTAAAGGATTCAAGGAGTTGTGCATGTTGACCAACGTTAACTAAAAGTCTTCACAATGTAATCTAATCGGATGACGGCACTGCAACACATGGTACTGTCATATCGGCAAAATTTTGACTCTAAAAATGTTCACGATGAAAATGGTTTCCAAAAAATCTTTTTTTGTGGCTTCCTCGCAACCATATGTGGTGCTGCCTGATCGGAAAAAAGCCTAGATAGGATACTATAATAGCTCAAAGATTGTATTGGTTGTACCCACACTCAAGGCATACGAGTTCTAACTGTGCAGAAGAGGCTGCACCACCCCAGTGGAAGGCAGTTCCGGGAATTTGTGGTCTAATGTAGTCAAGCTGGAATCGAGTCCGAATACTCTTCCTGTGCTATGTCCGTCATGGTAATCTCGTACAACCACTTCTTCCCTACTTTCAGGGAGTTTAATTTTTTGTGAAGTCTGGGATTTTCCCGCTTTCTCCGTCACCAATGCACTGATCTCCACCAACAGTTCGGCTTTTCAATTTGAAAAAGCTGCCTCAAAGTTATGGTGAACTGTGCCTCGTATGAAGATATCAAGATAAAGAAAGGTCTGGTGTGAACACCACTAGGCTTGCAAAGACCCGAAAAGAAGTTTCGCACGAAAACGAGCCAGAGAAATGGAAGAATAATTATGCCCAACCCGGAAGAGTGGAAGGAATCTCAGCAAACAAAAAAAAAAAGAAATTCTGATAAAGTAAGAGACGAGCTTAGGTGTACAAATTTTTGTTATCTATCTGGATGAATCTATCTATCTAGAGTGTGAGCTGATTCCAGTCTCCAGAAAGACTTTTTTTTGTAGATTTTAGCATTTTCACCCTCCACATTCATTAGAATGTTGATAAACTGAGACTGAGAATTGCCTACTGCTAAATATATAAGTGTTTGAGCAAGATCTGTGGCAGTCGACTGGTGTTATAGTCATAAGCCCTGCTTAACCGCGTTCATTTTTGACCGCTTGTGAATTTGGTAGAACTTAATGTACAACTAACTTGCAAACCACAGCATCCCACTGCATTTATTATAGACGTGTTGTGCACGACCTTCACCTGGAATATTTTAAAATGAACTTCTGTTGAGACTCTTTTGATAAGAAAAATGTGGGTGAATTACGATTCCCTAGAAACACATTTGAAAGCTAACGTAGCTTTGGATCGATCAAAAAGACCAGCCCTGCATTAATGACTCATCTCACTTTCATACGCCATCTATTTATTGCACAATTAGGCTTTCTGGCAACCTGCACAGTAAGCAATTGAGGCTTCCAGTATCTTTGAGATGGTGGAATCGTTTTCTGTGACGATAGGTTTTCTTGATAGAATCATTCCTCTACCGTCAAAACAATCGCGTTCCGGCTCGAGACATTATAGCGTTGGCACTACAGGACAATTCCGGAAGAATGATGACGTCCTTGATGAGCAATGTCTGGGAAGAACAAGAGAATACCCACTTGTAACCACTGAGCTCGAGACATCGAGCTTGCATTCGTGCCCATGAGTGTTATGACAGTCGATTATGGCTTGCTGCTATGCATAATGTGATTGAACAAGAAAGTTGTTTTTCCGCTCAACCAGAAGTTCAAAGTACACCGTAGTGAATAATTTTGGGACACCCTGTATTCCGAACCGGGTTTTTCTCCACTTCAAGTCTTGGTTTATCTAGCATCTATTTTCATCGAAAAAGAGATATGCAGTGGGCATTTCGAGGTACCGCTGGATATTGCGGGAGCCGGGCATGATCTTTGTACAGTCACTTGGGGGACTTACCGGAATATTCTTTTGCTTTGCACGCAGAACGAGGTCAGTGTGAGTTGTGGCACCAAATGGATCTCCAACAACCAGCATAGCTATATCGTCGACATCGGCGCCGTCCAGTATCTCATCTGAGCAGTTTACACTGATGGATGGTGTTTAGAAAAAGGTTGGTCATACAAATCGTTACACGCTTAAAGGCACAGTTTATGTTAAAGATAGTTTCTCAGTTTTCTTAGTGGAACGTCTCCCTTGCCCCAGCTGTAGTACATAAAGGGTTGGTAAACGGCCTGATAGGGCATAATAAGGGCTCGAAGGATGCCCCATTCTATACGAAGCCAGAAGAAAGGCCATGTTCTACCAGTTTTGTAGAAGATACACCATTCCCAAAGGTGCACATGCAGATGTCAAAAACTCAAACAGCTGATTGTCGGGACTAATACATAGATTTCATTCTGTTGTTAGTCTAGCACGAAATATGTAGTGATTGTATGGGGTAATGACGAGTGGCGAGTGGCAGTGCAGTGAAAGGCAAGCACTGGCAAGGCTTGGGGTGTGTGTACATTCGTGCGATTCGAGCTGCGCGCGGTAAATTACGCGGCGAAATTCATAGCTATTCTGACGAATTTAGCGCCTATTATTGGGGCCCAAATTCGCAGTAAAGTAAATATGTAGGATTAGCCGACCATACTAATCTACTCTACTTCAAGTTTGTGCCCCAATATTGGGTGCCAGGGCCGTTCAAAGGGCCACGAACTTCACCGCGCAATTTGCCGCGCGCAGCTCGAATCGCACGAATGTAAAGTCCCCCCAAGGCTTGTACTGACTGTAAGGAGCTTTTGGTGCAACTGCACACACTGAAATCTCGTCCAAATACCCCTTTCATACAACTTCAGCTGTCATAATATCGTGGAACCCACTACTTTAACCAGCTTTAAAAAGACGTGTATTCGCGAATCCTGCACATTTTCGCAATTTACCATCGATGCACTATGCTGCACCAACACATCCGCTATTTAGCTTGAGAAAGGTACCCCAAATTTATCGTGCTTTGTGCCTTTAACAAAACTAACACGTTTTTTTGATAGAATGAGTTTAAAGTGGAAGAATAATATTTTATGCGTGTTCCCGGTCCTATAACGTTCCTGTAACCATAGAAGTGTAGTGGTGCTTGGATGCACAACAACTGGCGGGAACAACCAGCTGATGTATTATAATACAAGGGAGTAACTTTATCGCCCCAGAAGAATTTGAGACCAATAATCGACTCGGAAGGATGGAAGCTCGATCGACTCAGGCGAATATCGGTTTGAAGTTCGATTATACTCACCAAAATATACATAAATGGTTAAACACACAAACCAACACACATCACAACAGCACACAGCGAAATATAGGTGGTAGTAAGATGAAAGTTTAGAGCCGCTTTCTTTGAGTTCCGGAACTTTCGATTCCTGAGTGATATTTATGACCTATCACGTGGCCATGAGGATATTGATCATACACATTGTTCGAACTTATCCGTAAAGGGTATATATGGCAATTAGAATACGGAGGCAGGAGCGACATTGTGACCAGACTAGGGTGTAGTCATCCTTGGTTTTCGATAGCCTCCAAGCCGTTGGCAACGGAGCTGAGATGACTTCTTAATGCCTTAACTGATAGCACGCAGTTCACCCGGGTATCCTTTTTTATTTCGGTTTCTAATATTCCGCCCGCAGTGAGAGAAATTTATGGGAAACCTGATGAATAAAGATGAGGCTTGAGTCGTTGGCTCTACCAGTATGCATGCCGTGTGGTCCTCTCGAGGAGAGGACCCACTAAGCGAGTCAAATCTGGCTTCCACTTCCAGGGAGCCCCCTTGCTTTTTCTGAGATTGGCGAAGATTGCTGTTATACGAGCCATCTCCACAAGGACAGAACGTCGCTGTTAGCATTAACAACAATCAGCTCCAGAAGCTCATGAATGTTGACGAAAAAATAGCTGCAATGCGCTCCTCCTCACGTACCTCACAACAACCCCAGGCCTCATATAGCTGCAAAAAAAAACAAATGAGATATTGGATAAGCTAAGTTGGACAGTGGGATAAGTTGGGAGAGACCGTCACTTAATTTGCCTTTTCAAGTCATCTCTAGCTAAGAAAAACTCACAAAATTCAAAGATTGTGAGAGGCCTGCCAACAAATTCATCGACTCCCAGCTCCTTATTTTGGAAAAAAAGGATTGCTATCCGCTGATCAGGTGAGATACTGTTGTGTCCAACGATGGCGATTACTTTGTAGAGTAAAGCCCGCTGTGGACAGTATAAGAAATAAAGCAGAAAAAAAAGTTAAGCGACAGAAGACTTTCTTGCCGCCCTAGTACATCACTACCTGCGCCTTTAGGTAGTGGCAGAAGCATCGAACGGCAACCTTGACAGAATCTACTTCGACTCGGCTTGCGGCAACTTCGTGCCCAATTGAACAAAATCAGGCCATAACATTGCAATAGTTTCTCGCTGTACGAAAGCGCACTGGTAACCCAAGTATTTAGTCAAATCAAAGTCCAAACAGTACCGTAGGCTGTATAAAGTGGACACGATACAGAAAGCGAGTTGAAAGAAATTACCTGCATTCTGTTCAACTATTGTGCGATCCGCTTCAATGACTTCGCGTCCATAGAACTCCTCGAGCTTTGATTTATCCAAGCCATAGCATAAAATACTCGTGTAAGCCTCAAGATGTACACGCTTACATTTCCTGAAAGAAAAACAAAACATACTTTGGTGTTCAAAGGGATCGCCATAAGGCTTACCTCACTATACTAAGTCCTTTCACAGTGATGTCTTCGACATCACCCAAACCCAGTCCTATCAGGTAAAACACCATTGTACCTCTGATGCGAAACACCACAGAAGCTGCTGTACAGTCAACTTTAATTAAACTGTGATGACCATGTAAGAGCATAATAAACGCATTTTGAATCGCTGTTACGCTTGGATTGTAATTACTACTTAGTCCTTGCAGAAGAGAGTTAGTTTTTCCGCTTATATTTGTTAAATAGACTATGAGAGTTTAACATTTTGCTTGAGAACATATCATACTTACTTCACTAATTCCACAAATGGACAAATCTGTAACAAAAGTTTTAGGAACATACATCCCTAAATATCTGAGCAATACCCAAGTTAGTAAATATAAGATTTATCGAAATATTTCATCCGAAAAACTATCAATTTCCTCAGAATATACCGTCATCATTCGAGTTCTTCAGGAAGAAATGCTACAACAATCCATATTGAGCATTTTACTACATTTGAAGATAACAGCTTGCATCTAATAAAATGATACAAAAGCTCCTTGTACATGAGAACATTTAATTGCTAATAACATGTGATAAAATGGGACGCAGGCAGAAAATAAGAAACATGCGAACCCCATTAACATCGATATTTAACCTACCTAATTGCTGTTGGAAGCATCGTAACAAAACAGTGCCCTCAGTGGAATCCTAGAATTTAACCGCTGAACACAACTTTGGCACTATCTTTTGCTAACAGTTTACAAATCGAGAGTTGTGAAAAAGCATGTAAAAGAAACGAATAACAGACCAACTCTGATAACAATCGAAACTCGAAAACCCGAACCTAAACGCCCAACAGTTGTCCAATCTTCTTCCTGTCACGATTTACGAAACGATCGTTCACATTGATCTTCTCCTGCTCTTCTTTCACTTTTTCTAGTTGCTCTTGTTCATCATCAGTCGGTAGAACGTTCACAGGAATGAATTCGAAATCCTTGCTCATAAAAACATATGCGAATTTCTTGTCATTCTCTTTCCACATTGCTTTCCTGTTCCGATAATCCTTCGGTGTGCTCCACGTAATATCACCCATCTGGACTTCTGTACGCACACTTCTTACAGGAAGATCATAGATTTTTGTGAGGTACTCCTTTATATCGTGTTTTGTCATCCTTGGGTCCACTTCGAACTTCACACAATTTCTAGGCAGTTTATGTCGCCCAACAACGGGTGCTGAAGTTATAGCTACCCAGAAATCAGGAAGAAAAACATAGTTCTGGATACCCTTCTGCCAAATACGCGGAGTACGAGTCGACATACCAGCTATTCGCTGCTTTGTTCTGCAACACGTAAAAAATTAAACCTGGGTTAGTTATATTCAGTGTGCTGACTAATTCGAGGTATTAGGCTGAGACCAAGCAATTCCATCCCTGATTACAACCAATATTCTTGAACACTTTCATTTGCAACACAACACACAATAATTCAACAAATTCAATTTGACACAATGATTTTAAATGCATAATTAACGTGACTGTCTAATTCTCAACCTAAGTAAACTTGCCTTCCAATGCTACACTTTAAAAAAACTATTTGAAGGTTCACGCTATTAGTGGGAGTATACAACAGACAGTAAGCAGACAATTAAGTACCAACATTTCAGTTTGAAAGAGTATCTACAAAAATCAGAACAGCACAAAAAACTGTGACAAGTATATTTTTGAATACAATTACAACACAGGTACCCCTAATGATACTAACAATAAAAATTGCATGGGAAAGTGAAATTGCACAGAAATGATCATCATCGTCTTGATAAATAAATATTACTGAATAAATACCAAGAAATAAATGCAAAGGAAACGAGAAAAAAGAATGTTTTCACCAGGGCGCACGATTGCACCACAACATTTCATCACATCCACTCACCTCTGACGAGACGTTACTAAATGTACACTTCCAAAAATTAAATCAAACTGAATATTCATTACCACGAACCTGATGCCTCAGCCAAAAAAGATTGAAAACAGTCGGGTCGTCAGCTTACACCGAGATCCCTCTTTCCGGTAATAAAATCGCGGTGTTTGGCTGACACACAGCAACCCTCTTTCCATACAAAATAGTACAACGATGACTGAATTTCTTAGGGAAATGCTGAGATTAGGCATACTACAACTACGAGGCACAGGAGAGGAACTAGACATGAGCTATTGGGGAATAGTTGATTCGGAACGGATAAATCTTGCTCCAAATTATACCACAATCAAAGGAACGAGATTCCTTGTTGAGCAGCGAATCCGTTATGTTTTGTGATCGCAGCGGTGGACAAAATAAACCATTTTGTATTATGAAATGGTAACAGTTCCTGCTATTATAACACTACCCTATTACCGAAATAGGGAGTGGTCTGGTGGTGTTCACACTCCGAAGCCCACCCTTCATTGCTTCATTGCTTGTTACCAATTCCTATCACCAAGCCATCAATGCGACACACCCACTTTACCAATCAAAGAGTCAAGGTCTCTGAGTTCGAATGAAGAGCGGTACACACCTATTGAGTCTTTCTTTCCACGGTTCCTCGTCAACCCTTACAAACTCAATCAAATTCTGTCATCACCTTCGACTCCGTCATATTACATCTCGCTCACCAATGTAAGGATCCACCGTTAATACAAAAGGGCAGCGGACCCGAGAGCTCTCGAATTCTGGGACTCATTATCTGCTCTTGTCGGCTCTTATTACTCCCTCCCACATCTCATCAGTGCTTCCACCCTGCTGCTCGTATTCCATACAAACGCACTAGTTCTCAGGAGAAAGCTCCCAGGTTTTCGGCTAACACACACACACTCACAAGTGAAAACAGCGATGTGCTAAGAGACACTCTTAACAAACCATATACAGCAGATGTGACGAGAAAGATGCCTTCTAAAGAACATATCGTTTCAAGGACAACACAGGAGTTTTACATTATGAAACCCGTAGCAATTTTATCTACAAAACACTAGATTATTAAGTAATCTTAAGCTTCGTGGGAGTTCTTCTGATTTCCCAATATCTTCGGCTCAGCTTAGTCATAATATAACAGTTGACAACAAGAAATGCTATAGATGCCATCCAAACGAATTCAAGTGTACGCCATTTGCGGAACTCGTACAGATAGGCGAACAACAACCACACACCTTGACTAGTGAACCATATTCCAATCAAGGATATCACTTCTTTCATTGGCATTGTCTTCTGAAAACGGAGAAGTCTTTCTCTGTCAAGGCAGTAACCCCTAGCCTCACACCAGAATAGTATAAAAGCAGAATAGCAACTAGAAAAGAACGATGACCCTAACGTAAATCTATGAGCCTTGAGCAACACACGTATTGGAATGTAGATGTCATCACTCAGAACTTCTTACAACGTGAAGCACGTAACAATTATGATAAAAGACTCAAAAATCCGATCGTTAACCAATCGCGCCTTCGGAATATGTCACGCATTCCACTTCCTGTCAGAATCGTAGTGGGAATCGAATGCGCATGTGGTCATTACGATAACATAATGACAGCCCATGTTCAAGTCAGAGCTTTTACCCCACCAAGAGAGTCAACTACAAATAAATCGACCCCCGAGGAATGAAATGTATTGTTGGTCTAGGTGGATATCGAAGTGAATTCGATAACGGACCATGTCTGTAATATAACTTGTCACTACACCAAATCCACACTACCCTGGTGATATAAGACTGCTCTTTTAAAATCAATTTTCAGCACTGAGCCACCTTGGTTGGAAGATTATAATGAACTATGTGGAATAGAACGTAGAAAAAAGTAGCAGAAACATGGTCTGCGAAATTGAATAAATCGAACAAAACTCTTTCCCCATCGATAAACATTAGGACCAAATTATTTTAAAAACCAAATTAACAACATAATGATATGATCGGCCATACCTTGAATCTGCTGGTAATCAGCGGAAGTAAGCAGATATACCACACGAAGTACTGACTTGTACATACTTTGTTGAACGTGACAAAAGCAAACGTACTCATGAACCAACAAAATGGGAGATCATGATGATATCTGAAATATAAAATGAGGCGTTCAAGTTAAATAATGAGCATAAAACCACTACCTGAACGCATAATACAAAACGAGACCCATCTGGGGTAGAAAAGCTAAGAATCCAATAAATTTCGAGAAAAGCTCATCGTCGTCGATCAACCGAAGCACCTACAAAACACATTTTAAATCAGATGATTACAGAAACGGAAAATGATCAGAACTAAACTCACGTAGAAGTAAGGAGAAAAATTATGAGCAACGTCTCGTCTTTTTATGTGATAGAGAAGGAATTCCTCTAAGAAGAGATCACCGTAGATTAAGTAGAAAAAGGCAACGATAGCGCCAAAACAGCCCAAGCTGATCTGAAAGGTGACATTACTATTCCATTTTAATCAAACCAGAAGAGATGACCTGAAATTTGGAAGGCTTCTTTTCTGAACAGCAGTACACTCTTCTTAATAAAACAACAGTAAATGGACGACTTTGTTGCCGACAATGTAAACTCGTGTAGTTTTCGACGGTGTATTAGGAGAAAATACCAACACTATCCTTGCTTTCGACTGTTCTAGAACTCACCAGAGCGTATGCAAATCCTTTCCAGTTTATAAGAAGCTGCTTCATACTAGCAAATATGCATGGACTAGCAGAAAATTGGCATAAGTGAAGAAATATTGACGGAAGATATATAACCGGATAGATCTTGAGATGGATCGCCAGTGCACCATGTACAATTGCAGCTGCTACCCACTAAACTGAATTTAATCAGGGATATGCCCATTTTCAATGAATATGTGGGATCAGACATGAAAGAAATGTAGATCGAAGTAAGGTTTTCTATAACTGAGCCGAATAACGATATGCATGATTGAATCTACGCTGACCTGATCTTTTCTAAGAAGGTGAAGTGTAAAGAGCACAGCAGCGCAGACAAGCACATCAGCACTACCCCTTAAACTCTCTATTAAGACATTAATTCACTAGTCACGCCCAAAATAAACATCAAGCTGTATGAACAAGGTAAATGGATAACTAAAAGTAGTGAATGCGGCCAACCTCGCCGATATAACCGCTGTTAGAGGATTGGCAAGCCAAAAAGCAACAACTGATTGGATAATCCAATCTTCTGAAACCGCATCTTCGTCAGCACCTGCATCACTGAAAAGTCTGGTGGTAACCTGCCACTAGCCAAAAATGCATCCATAGGAAAAGACATAGGAGAACCTACATTTTCTTTTTCCGACCATTTTTGACAGGAGACATCATTTGAAAATACAGCCACCCAACGACGACGTCAAGAACAGAGAACAGATATTTTCCTGAAATGATAGATAAGTTGAGGTGACATAAATTATAGCCGAAAACATACCGAAATCGCGGTAGCTATTATTTGGCAGAAGAATCCAAGCCAAAGCTGGCGTATATCTAAACGAGGGAAGTTATAAATTCCTATCGAGCACACCCACACATCTCGTGTGCTTGAAAAAATAGCATACCGGTAAGTCTCCCTTTCAAACGGACTTCGCCCTGCTGCCACATGTTTGGCAGCGTCGCTGTAAACGGAGTAGTCAATGTCAGTGAAATTAACCTGAAATCTAGCATATGTCGAAAATACCAAATACACGAACATATGTCAAAATCGAAAAATTGATGACTGACATGAAACATGTAGTCGTGGATATTCGAATACATGACTAATGTAAAGCGAGCAGCAAGGGCAACAAATAAGATCTGAAAGAAGAGGACCATTATCTACGTATAAACAAAAACCATAAAGACATACTCGCTCTCGTGTCCATGGCTGAGGCGCTTTTCTTGCACTAGCAGGCATGAAGTCTGATAGGCTGAAAAATATTCCTTTGCTTTTTTGCGATCTCATGCAGTCGTCACCCTTAAGACATGCAAATATCGATTAACAATCACCACTGCCGCAATGCACGGGCAACGCGTGCGGTGATCGATACGCCTTGTTCGTTGCCCAGGTCATGTTAACCATAGGGTTTGTTTACCCAGCCTTTTGTTTGTTCACTTTTTGTCTACCGAATCACTCTTGCCCCTTCATCTTCAAACCCTGCAAGCAGCATTATGTTACGTGCAGTGCGATCCAGGGATAACAACAACACGACACTAAGGACTGTATCTGCAAGCAGGACTACTCTACGAAGAGGTAGTTTTCCAACTTTTCGTGAAGAAGTATTTTCTAGCTAACGCATAGTGATTAACCTGATCAAGAAAAGAGCGGAGAGCTCTGCGTCAGCGGAGGTCCCAGACCGTTGAGTCGAGTGACGGAAAAGCGAAGCATGGCGGAAAAGCTGAAACGGTCAAAGTGACTTTAATCCCGACAAGGCACAGGTATCGATCACCGCACGCGTGCCTCATGCGTCGCGAGAACGGCGACGGAGATGAGAGCACAGTTCCGCACCTATTCCACATATCACCCACGAAGGACATCCACTTGATCAATAATGTCACAATATGTAATCTAAGAATTAATAAGAACATCAGGGACATTGAAGGCTGTTACAACGTCAAAGAATGCAGACACGACCTCTTGTAAGATTAGCGCGCCCATCAGTATAAACGGTACCGAGTAGCCAACTTAACGGAAGAAAAGCGGTGAAAACGTATTCGAAGGGGGCGCGCATTGTCGCGCCATGTCCGCGCTCTCCCAGCAAAGCAGTACAATTTCGCTTTGAAATGCTTTCATCCGGTAGATTGACCGCCACACATCCACATCCGGGTGGAAGGCCCTGTTCTTCGTACACTGTCCCGACGCACGAATCTGCGTAAAAACGCAGTTACTATGAATTGTCGTCACGCACCTCACAATATCGGGCTTCGTTCATGTCTGCCCAATAATTTTAGCGCTACAGGGCAGAGCGTAGCAAAATGCCACCTTGCGAACACATTTTCACCAGGAAGCCTTCCGTGAGAGAAAAATAATGAGCTGCGATGGGTAATAAATCTCCACATCGACGAAATTCTGGGAGGTTTAATTAAAAACAGATACGAACGTTGCTTAAAATGCAGAGTGTGTCATTACACACGGCAACTTTAAATCTTACGCCTAAATATTTTTTCGTTGCTTTGTGGAACACGGCTTCCTATGTCAGAATTATTCTACTCATTTTTACGCATCTCAGTTGCTGAGGCTGTATTTGTGTTGCATAGAGTCTACTTGAGCTTTATCCTTTTGCTATAACAGTCGCATCACTAATCTTATACTTATCTAACGTGGTTCCGTTCTTTGTAACACCAAAGCATCCGAGCAGCTTCTATTGAAATTTCGAGTGAAAATGAAGTAGCTGGGGGAGGGAGGGGNGGGGGGAGGTTGGCTTTTTCTCAACATTGAGCGCCAGAGCGCAGACAAGGGAAAGTATTCGACTGCGTGAGCCCACAGTAGTACTTAGAATGTCTCCTAGCCGAGAAAATATAGCTTTTTTTAGATAAGCCTCAGGAGGAAAGGAAGACCGGGGTGAGTGAGTCAACTGAATGTTCAATCCTCACCAAATCCCAGCTTCGTAATCATCTCACTCTTCTCGGTGCCTCCTCCCCTTAGGTAAAAACTAAATTTCTTTGGCTAAGAAAGATCCCTGAGCGAAAGTGAAATCGGCTACAATTTTTCTCTGTGCTTTAGCTCTCAATGTTGAAGGAATGGGGTGCTCCTTCTCAAACAACGTTTTCGCCATTTTGTGAATAGGCGCAGTTGTCATTGTGCCAGCTGGAAGTTCAGCACTGTGCAGAGGCATTCACTCGTCCATTACCTGAGTGCAAACAAATTCTCTGATCTCGCACCGTTGAAAAATTCATAAGTGTGGCTGTGCGAGAGAATTCGAATCGTTCATGAACCATAGGTGATAGCGGAGGTAGCTAGCTAACCTCTACTCGACACTTCACTGCTTGTCCCACTAGATTTATGCTTACACTACCTACCACCGGTTCTCATGGTCATCGGTCGATTGCCCAGGTGCCTCCTTCTTCTTCACACCCGTTCTTTTAGAAGATGTATTTCTTTACTGACTAACTACTTGCGATGCTCGGAAGACAACCCAGAGAATTCATGTGAATGGCACTGGACTTGTGTTGTGTTGGTGTTTATGTGCACGTTGAACTTTACGAAGTCATTGCCAGTACCGATTCTCAGCAGAGAACTGTGCTATGAATACTGCAATTCGGTTTGGGTGGGTGTGGGAAGGTGGGCGCCGAATAACGTTGAATCATGCCCGATGCATGTTGTTGCTATCGATTACTCTTTAATGACATAGCAGTTTCTGGGGATCCGGGCATGCTTCATTCTGACCGTGGACTTGGTACTGAATGTTCAAGCGTTGTCATTCGTTAAGTAGGGTGTTCATGCTTCAAATCTGAGCTGAAGTCCTGTTTTGATTCGTATAGTTGTTCTGCATTGAAAGCTTACCATTCGTTGATCACAAGTTTCGCTTTATTTGTGAACAATAGGCAGACTTTTAGCATTTCCATAATACTTTTTATTTGTTTCTAAATCCATCTCCCCCTATTTCTTGGACTGGTGAATTTGTTATTTGCAATAAAATTGCAATACAAATGCGACGCCCTCGAAAGGCTCAGATGTCAAGCAGCAGACCGTCATGGTGAAGAAATGGCTGGAAAATCGCTGCCTCGCGTAATTCGTTCAATTTCAATTCAATTTTACATCATTTATGTTTTTGGTTTCCTTTTTACTCATGCACAATAAGTACGATTGCCATAGCAGCAGTCAAGCCTTTTCCAGAAGCTTGTGAATCTGTTTCCAGATCAAAGAGAGGTCCATGTGAATGGAACGCTCGAATCAGTCTGAAACTCATGGTTGGCAGTGAAATCTCGACAAAAACTGAGAGTCAGTCGTCTTTAAGTGATGATTAGTAAAACTCGTCTTGAAACCACTATAGAGGTCCCGGCCTTAACGTGCCCAGTGGTTTTGCAACGAATGAATTCCAAAAAAAGGTGTAAGAATTCTCGATGAGCTCAACGATCTTTGGAACTCGGTGGATCAATCGACGAAAAAAGGAGTGATCGTAGGCTTCGCAGACCCACGAGCCGTCAAATGAAAGTTTGTATTTTGTCCTTCCAACCAGGTGACACACTTAGGAAATCTTTCGAAAATGCGAAATTCCTATTAATAAAAAGTCTATATATGCTCGAAGAAAGGGGAAGTGTAATATCAACGAAGGTTTTAGTCATGAAAAGGTGATGCTATACGTATTTCCTTGTCGAAGTACGAAGTAGAGCCCCAAGAGTCTTGGACCAAAGCTGGGCAGTTACTTAGGAATTGTGTTGCCGTTAGATAGATGACTGGAATTGGCGTTTCAGTTGTAACCGTCAAGTACAAGTTGTCATATCGCACGACAACATAAGCCTCATCATTTAGAATTGACGGATGCAAAGATTTGGAAACTTCGCTGGAGCTTTGTTGTTCACTTGCCTTACTTTCGGCCTACGGACTACTTGAACAGGAAGTTATAAAAATACAGCAAGTATGGTCTCCTTTGCCAGAATCTTTCCTTTTTCCTATCTTTTCCTATTCTTTTTATCTTTGTTTTTGTCTTCTTTTTAATTTAGCTCCACCTCAAAAGAGACGGGGCAAAGGGGGCATGATAAGTGTAGTCTGCATCCGTTTCGCTTCTAGTGTAGTTTCACCTTTCACGCATAATTCCTATACCGTGATGATCTCGCTTTACTCTTTGGTGCCCTTCAGCTATTCGCTGTCGTATTCCTTTTCTAGATCGATAAATTTCTTGCCATTGTAGTCACAAATCTTTTGGACGCTCCCAAAATGAGAGCTACCACTGTGAATAATGAAGCTGTCAAACAACGGCAACTTCCTGATTCACTGGTGGAAAATGGTAGCCTTTTGTTGTGAAGTACTGAAAAGACAGCCTAGATTTGAAGGAACCTCAAGCAGCTGATAATTTCAGGACAGCAAAGTCTAGAGAAGAGAAAGCTAGCGTGCTTGTTCAGTATATTTGCTGCGAGGTAATTGAATGGTGTATCTTGAGCTGTACCATTCTCGTCTGTTAAGTTGGACTCAGAGGTGAGGCAAAAATCCTAATCGATGACGCAAAAAGTTGCTATTTCCGTCATAACAACGAATTCGGCTCCTACGTATGCACACACCTTTTGACTTTTTTTTCATTTCCCTCGCATTGTAATATCCCGTTTTAAATCGAGTGTGAGAGGGAACCTATAAGTTCTGCGGTTCTCGCTTATCTTACGTGGGCTAGGCCCGCCTTGAGAACACATCTGCCAGTAACGCAGACTTGCGTTTTTCAAAATGAATAGCTCCCACGCTCGGTCACTTTTGAGAAATGTCCCAACTCCTCTATATTGATGGCACCAACGGCTGATGGAATAGCGTGCGATTTTTCAAGACGTGAATTATTGGAGGTAGCATTGCGTTACAGCTCTATCGGCTTTCCAACCCGGTAACGCAGTTCCTTTGTGTTCTAGCATCACTCTTTTATGAACTTCTACTGAAGTGCAATTATGAGGGTTCTTCTCTGCGGGGAGCAGGGGAATGTTCTCTGTTTGCCGCTTTTCATTACTAATCTACCATTAGTTACTTTTAAAGGGAAGCGGTTGATGGCTTCGCCATGTATTTGTGTGAAGGACCGACCACCTGGTAGAATCACAACTGTGAAAGGTTGTTCATAAATGTAAATGGGCAAAATCTTGATAGATGGAAAGGGCTCGGTTTCAAACTAACGAGAAATCCAGACAATTCTCTCTCCAAAGCCTAGCGACAGGACCTACACCATTGGTCAACCGAGGTGGAACTACATGCTGAAATATTACAGGTAAGAGGGCCGAAAGATTAGCATGCTCTCAGTTCCCTACAGCCATTCTAGCCGTTCATAACACGCGTTAGTTGTGAATACTTACGGACCACACACAGTTCCACGCCGTTATTGTTTGAGTGAATGGGCTTAAATAAACATTTCTCTACGGCTTTTCCAGCCTGTGAACTCGAATCTTAAATTCCAAATTGACCTTCTACATCTTTGCAACAATGGAACCCATGCATAATGTGCAAGAGAAACTGAAAAAATAGGAATGTGTCGTAATGCCCGTGTCGCCCATAATTTGGGCATGCCGTTGATAGAGCCTGCCTAAGTATTCAATTATACTTCTTTTTAAAAGAAACTGAAAAGAGAAAAGTATTTTTGACTCGGTTTCATTGTTGTTTTGAAATGGCATTCACGTTTCTCTTCGCAAGCGCAAGCGACTGTAGCAGTACTACGAGACAAGATGTACCTTTTCTTTACCTTCCTTCAAAAATGATGGGCTTTTAGTGCTAATGGGGAATTTATAAGTCAAATTCGAGAAAGTTTTTGGAAAGCAGTGCACGGAATCTCTTACTACCCATATGGTCTTGTGAATTGCTCACCACCTGTAATACCTATAGGGTTGGGAAGTTCCACAACAATTTGCGTTATCTGGTGTGCTGTATGTAGTTCCTTGCATACGCTACGTACTTTTTTATAAGGTCAAGGTCAGGGTGGGAATTTTCGCGAAAATGTAGTTTTCGTGGTGTGACACTGTTCTTCGTTCTTCGTATCCATTGCTTACTGTTTTTAGGTGCTGGGATTTCTCAGAGTATGTAGTGTGTCGTCATTGTAGACATTGTCGCACGAATGTCGAATATCTAGGATGCCTTACTTGACGAGTGCTTTTATTTTCTTCGTAATTCCTATTTCCTGATATTCAGACTCACCAAAACTCAGAATAGCTCTCACTATTGTTTCACCGTTTTCTCTTTAATCTAGTTAATGTCGCATACTCGCATTTTGTAATGGAACTCCCCCAGGAGAAGATTAGTTGGAATGGAGTTGTAGTTGCTTCGCCGTGTCTTCTGAACCGATGTAACAATTGTCCCTCTGACCTATAACTTTTCAGATGCACCTTTTCTCTTGTTGTGTACCCTACTTCGACAGTTGCTTGGAATGTATACAAGGACCGTCCTTCTCAGCGACAGCTTCCTATTCACAGTTGACCGTTCCGCTACCACCTACGAATCGGCTTGATGTCACCAAATGTGGTAAAGTTTTCGTTGCTAATTTTGGATTCAGGCAGTTTCGCCAGTGAGTTTTTCTTGTGGATAGTTGCCTTCAATGTAATGGAGATCACAACACCCCACTTCACTCACCAGTTTAATCTCTTTAATCTTCTCTTTTCTTTCGTTTTTCAAGAAGCCGTACCACATTATAACTTTGGTTTGATTAAATCGCGGATTCTTCCTTAATTACGAAGCCCTTCCGTCGTAAATGATATATCCAATGTCTCAATCTTGGCTGAAGATTAAAGTAAAGTTACATCATATAGACTAAGTGTTTCAATGAAGTGAGGATAGATTAATAGAAGAGCATGTGCGAGTGTTTTCCTTTTCAAGTGCCAAAGTCCTTAGGTGCTTGAGAAGCCCTCTTCATCCCGGCGTTCTGTTTTCCACTATTCTTTGGTTCGTTTTTGTCCAGATTCGTTTGATTAATATTTTGATGATGGTGAGTTAAATGCTTAGCGGCCAAGTAAAGGTTCGATCTGCGAATTTCTTTCGAAAAGAGCCATCATTGCTAGAGGAAATCACAAAAAGATAAACTTCACTAAAACCGTTCTGATAATCCTCAAGTCACCCTCCAGCAGACATCTCCATTATTCTGTAGCGGGTTACAGTCGGCATTTCGCTCATCTTTACTCTTATCATACCCGAGTCATTGACCGTTTTTATCGTTTTGTTGTGTTCGGCCGTTTAATGCCTTCTATCCTGTTGTCTCCGGCATTTGCACATGCTTATCACAACAAACAAATTACTTAGTTTGAAAAACATCTGATGATGGGTGTTTTCCTTTGGCACCCGACTTCCAATTCAGACACCCAACACGATGATTTATATTTGCGTTCGGAATCTAGAATTTGTTTTTGATTGCTGGTTTCTGCCCTCCCCCATCCTCTGAAGCTTGCACGGCGTGTAGTCAGAGATGGTCACGTCACCCGTACATACTGGGAGCCAAGGATTAGCTAGGAAAAAAATTCGTCGGGATTTTGCTTGTGTTGTGAGTATGTATGAAGTATGAGTGCGGAAAAGACGAAAGGGAATGGATTAGTGGGAATGACGGAGTTCAGATAGTCATTTGAGCGGAGGTTACATCCCAAAGAAATTCGAGTTCCTCATTGAAAAAAATCAAAGGAATGAGATGATGTAATGCTCGACTAACCGCTGCTTCTTCCTTCAGGAAAAGATGTCGTCATTCTCAAGGAAGGAGAACGAATATGTGGTACTGGTGGTGCTTTGGGAACTTTGCCTATTGTACAAAATAAGGCGTACTTCCAGGTCAATGTACAACAGAACGGTAAGTAGCCTCTGATTGAATAGTTTTGCAGTGGTGCAGATCTATCTTGACAATTTTTTCTTCTTTACATTTGGCTTTTGTGTTCAGCCGCTATTTTAAGGCGCCTTCGGAATAGGACTAGGTAACTCTCACGCAAATCTTGATGCGGTGCCAGTCACAAGCAACTTCTGGGGAATCCGAGACAATGGTGACGTGGTGGCAAATGGAACAGCCATCGCTAAACTTAGCAAGATTGTTTCCGAGGGCGATTGCGTCGTGAGTTTGTCTGTCTTCCTTAATGTTTTTCAGATCGTGGATTTTCGAAAGATAGCTTTCACGTTTACCTTTTTGACGCCTCTTACAGATAGTAGTTCATTAGGCTAAATATAGACCGTTTGCCTTTCTAGGGAGTATGTTTCGATCATGTTGAACTGAAATTCTTATTAAATGGCGAGCCACTGGAGCCCAGCATAACAGGTGTTAAAGGACCGGTAAGCAAATTTTCAGCTACCGTGTACGTTTTTCAGAAGATTCAATAGCATGGATAGTTATCTTACTCTTGGAATTTCTATTCATCGAGGGTGGCTATACGTAGGGCAGTGTGGCATATGCAGGCCATGAGGGTGCTGTTCATAAAAGAGGAGATGATGGCTGAAATTATTCAAAGAGAATTCTACGAAAGCCTTTGTTGTGCTCATGAATGTTTGAGTCTTTTTGCTGGCATTGAATTCTTTATTCTCTCAATGGGTGAAGTGCGTCAGACTATGTTTTGCCCAGCCCTTTTCAATTTCGCTCTTAATTATTCTTTAGCTTTCAAAGTAATCGTAAATTTTAGGCGTACCCCCTTGTCTACGTAGACGATTCCGCCATTTTAGACGTGAAATTTAAGAAGTTTACAGAAGATCCGCCGAGTGGGTACAGTGAAATACTTGCTGAGCAGACGTTACTCTAACGAATTCGATTTTTTTTCCGAATCACCCACTTTGGGAATGTATCGTTGTACAAATTTATTATGGAGCTATTCGATGTTCATTTCACATTTCTTTTATAACGCTTTCAAGGTCTGTTATTGTAAACAGGTATCTAGTGTACAGCTCACTTGTCTGTTAGATACTCTACACCTTTCTATTGTTCTTTATGATCAAATAAATAACCCAGACAATTCTAGATTTCGGCTGATGTGCCAGGAACAAGATAAGTGAGAACGATGTGATGTTTGTAATGATGTGATTAAGTTACAGTTATCAATAAGATTTCTTTGGTCTTCAGTGGTTTTATGATTTCTTTAAACAACTTCACTTCCATGGGAAAAGCGTTTTTTAAAAATTACTTTATCATATATATACTGGAATAGCGAAATATATTAGTTATCAAATATATAGGCTCTCAGTTTAGTATGTGACACAGGGAAAGTGGGAAAGAAACGGTTAAGTATGATCCGCAACATCCAAGCTCATTTCGTAACGAGCGTTTTGAAATACGTGTTTTCGAACTGGAACGACGTCCGGGTGGTGATCTGTTGAAAAAATCATAAAAAACACGAAAATAAACTCTCAAAATTGAAAAATGCTCAGGATTGCGGTCCCGAACACTGCAGAAAGAAACCCACCGTCTTCTTTCCGTATTTGGCTGAGGTCTACTGTAGTGTAGTCATCTGAAATAAAAAAGCGTCAAGGTCAGAAACCACCCTATACAGATAACATAAGAAATTGGAGCTAAGTATGAATCTAGGGAATACATGAAAGGCTTAATTTACATTGTCCTCCTCAGCTAAAGGGAGCGGGAGGAGTGGATTGGGATTCTAAGCGCGGGGGACAGTGCTGAAAAGAGGATCGAGCCTGAACTGTATGGTTGTGGGAGTCATAGCAGAGCGGTACGTAATATCCTTACGAGGGTGCATCATGACCATGATTTTCATTTTAGGGTGCATCATAATCGTAATTGCGTAGCGGATTCGTGGCGGAATCCGCAGCACTTCGAACGTATACGTCATAAGTTTTGTTCTTTTATTATTCCGATCAAAAGATGGTCTTCGAAGGTTTCTGAATGGTCTTCGTTACAATGATTTGTGGAGGCGAGGCTTTTGACTGGCCCTTTAGTAAGTATCAGTAGTAACTGCAAAATTACCGTATGCTACTGAACTCCTTTCAAGGTGGCATAGAGATCTGTCGGACTAACGGAGAATGTGGTCGATGGGGCTGAACAAGGGACCCTCACCTGGGCAATGCTTCTGATCACTTCAAAATTTCCGAGGAACCTGCTCCGAAGGTTTTTCAAACATGTTGTGAATTCCCATAAACGTTGCGCTGCGTAGGGGCACTCGCTCTTTAAATCGAGGTTTAGGTCTATTCCCCTGAATTCAGCCAGAATTTTTGCTCGATGCCCTCTTTTAAAGTAAAACCTTTCGCTAGGTTTCCTGACCATTATCCATATAAGCGCTCTCTGTGAGCTATCATTTACATTTCTGGCATTTATTGGTGGGCCCCGTGCCCTTTCGATACCCAAGGTCCGAGAAGACGGAACCTTGTAGGTGAGTGCCTCATTCATTCAGTCAAATTCAGTTTGTCAAGACAACTAATGGGTCCGTGTAATGGTGAAATGGAGCAGCTCAGAAGTTGGAAGCTCGTCCTTAGGGCCATACCCACTTTCTGCGAGCCAGGCGTGGTGAAAGGGGTAGACTGGCGTACAGCTGCGCAAAATCGACCATTGAGCTTGAACACAGAAACCTGAGCGAGGGCGATACCGAACTCACCATCATCAGAGCTCCACCCGGAAATCATCTCGTCTTGTCGATCATGATCGATCGGATTGTAGTCGATGGCATGCGTGGCTTCACTGAAAGATATGGAGTCTGTACAGAACAAAATGAGCCATTGGGTTGCTGATTTTCTCGTATTTCTGCGATTGGTTCAAATGCATTCATAGCGTAAATTAGTCGCTCTAGCTTGTCTCAGTTAACTTGTTCGCGAAATGAAGTATAAACGCTTTCTGATGCGATGGTATGCGTTGCGATGCAGTGATTCCGAACCACTAAATTCGATCAGTGGTGCATTCTAGGACTTAAAAACCGCTCATAGATGGTACAAATTCGGGTTACTCGAATAATGCATCAACCTGACCTGATTATCTCGTCCACGTTTAGTGAATCCTCTTTCAGCGCTGGAGGAACAGCTGGAATCGGGTTTGTTTACTAGGTTCAGGACAATTCATTCTGATTGAGGCGAACACTAACATCAATCTCATTAAACCTAAGTGGACGTACCGTCCAGATCGAATTCTTCTTCTGAGTCAAGAAGCTGCTCACGTAGCTCTGGATTATCCCAGACTGGCTGATCGAAGTGTATCGTTGTGGTGTCAAGTGAGACAGATGGCGCCAACAGCTCTGAAAATCGCCACTCTCATGTTCCTCCTTGAACTCTCCTTGATATGATAGTAATCCAGTATGATATCTGATGATCATGGTGGAAGAATTTACCGATTATTATTTAGAAAGACCAGTATTTTGTAGAAGTCGAATTCGACAAACTTAGTCAAGAATAGATTTGATTATACGATTAGATAGAACAATTTTGATTAAACAGCGTTAACTATAAAAGTGGATTCCCTTTCTAGTTCGAGTAGCTATCCGAATGCTAGGGGAAATTGGTGAATGAGGCGGAGAAACCATAAAGAGTAGGAAGGGCGACGAATTTATAATAGGCAGAATAGCCTTGAGGTAGCCACGGAGGTGTCACCACTATCCGTTCAGCTCATTGTGGAAGGGACAAGATGGCATCAATTCGAAACCTTCCGAAATCTACATTCAGCTTTCATTAAGAATCGTAGTTGCTTTTGAAAGCTTACTGTCCTATGTTACATGCAGAGGACTTGTCCCCATGAACGAGCTAAGGCTTTCATCTTTGCCACTAGGTCTTTCAAGAAAATGAAGGACGGATAAAGGGCTATGCTAAAGATTTGATCCCAAAACCACACGCCTAGCAGCGACGCTACGTGAGTGGGACGGCCCCAACCCAATTTCCCGTTCACAAGATTTCAATTTGAACCAACTTGAGAGAAAAAATTGAAGAAAAGAATGAACGCACTTCTTTTCTCGTTTGCTGACTTCTGTGATGATGGAGGAATTGGTGACGTGTCTACGATATCCAATTTCGATGTCTGGAACAGCCGTAAGTTAGGAGGGAGAACGATGGAAACGACGGACTGGTTGGGAGGGATCACTAGTGCTTCCTTAATTTTTCGTCATTTGTAAAAAATGAAAAATGTTCTTCACTGAGGCTATTTTCATTTTCGCTCCCTCGAGCCTGCAACACCAGCTTCCCACAAAATCTTCTCCCCATATACTACCAAACAATAACCTTTCGCTACTTGTTTCCTTTTCTTTCCTTTACTTCTACTACTACATCCCCCGACATGAGCATTTATACCCTTTATTCACCTCGTGAGACATGGATCCGAGGTCCATGCCTCAGGAGGTGAAGTAAAGGGTATAAATGCTAATGTCGGGGGATGTAATAGTAGATTTGTGGGGGGAGTCGGTAAGAATACGAGTGCTTGTGTTGTTGGTTCGAGAGGAAAAAAGCCCACCAGGAAATCGCAAAAAGCAATATTTTACCTGATGGTCCTTCTTTTTTTGTTGAGTAATTCCTCACACGTGTGTATGATGGTATGTTTGTGTCTGCGTTTGGGTCTGCGTGTAT